GCACCAGACCGTGGAACCAGTGTGGCCGGAGGTGGGATGATGGCAAATGAAACTCCCCCAAACTACGAAAAATAAAGCCAGCACGCGAACTACGGTGTATGTTTGCCCGGAACGATAATGTATGGCGAGAGAAACACAATAATGTATGGCGAGAGAAACACTATGCCGAGGAGACTGCCGCACTGTACCTGTTGACTGTGTTCAAGTCTAAAGGATCAGAGTCTCCGCCAAAGTGATCACTCGGATGATATATTGGGAGAGTGTCACCTGTTCTTTCTCTATACGACTCTCTAAAGGGATAATGGTGATAGAAATCAACTGAAAGTGGAGGTATTCTCAATAGTACCTGCTAGTGGTTCTCGCGTCCATTGGATCAGTACTCATATCGATTTGGTCCCTAGGATGAATCATCATGAACCTTTCTCCAGCTCCTGCAGTCCACTTATACGAATCCCTGAAATAATGGCAGATGGAGTGATAGAACAGCTTCGGGCGCCAGGGGAAGGACGCCATTCGGTCACGCTTCTGTATCCTTTCCCCGAGAAGGCTCAGACAAAAGCGCAGACGACCAGAGTGGAGGATAGTGTCGCAGGGAAGACATCATCTCCTATGCGGCACTGTGCCTGAGCCTCGACTAGATAAGGTATATGAAAGCGCTGCCGAGTGGTCAGTCCTGCCCCCACCCCCACCCAACTACGTTAGCGCCCAGCTTTAGGACGATTATCCCCAGCTTCAATTACCGTGACGTTGTTTCAAATGATAATTTTCCGTCGTTTTCATCGTCCTGTGACATTTTGATTGCAGGGATGTCTGAACAATGATCCTGAAAACTATCTAATAAACTGATGGTGTGGCAAATCGCGACACTGTGGTGGTTTACCCTCAGTGTTGTTGCTGTATCCATTATTTTCGTTTAGTCAGAAATCTCTGAAATGCATGTCTACGGGTTCGTTTTCCTCAGTAATTGGTTGCCGTTTTACATTCTGCAACAGGTTTCACCATTCTCTATATTAGCAGCTAAAAAACACATTCCGCTTCAGCGGAGGCTCCTCAGTGCTCAGAGCTATTTTCCATCTCCACCCACCATTCGAGACGCCGAGCGGCCACACCATGCGTCTACTCCTTCTAACTGAGATAGTGCCCAGCAGGTCTATTTGATGAGAGCTAATGAGCTAATGCCCTTTTTCAGATGATTCACACGTAGAACACCACTATTATTCTACCATTATGTGAGCCTTGGATCCTAGCGTTTTTCTCGAAAGGTTACGCATTCTCATCATGGCAGCCAATTGGTGGCTATCCTACTATATATAATCGGCTATGTCCGTGTGCGTGTGTGTGTGTGTCTGTGTGTGCGTCTGTCTGTCTGTCACGAAATTCATAGCGAGCGTCGCAGAAAAGATAGGATGACAGCTCCAAGAAGTGATATACACGGCAGACGGAACAATGTGGGTACAGAAGGTGATAAACCTTCGATAAGATTCGATAAGGCGCCTTTAAAAGAGAGGCGTGACCGATTCAGTAGCGCAATTAGATTCAGCTACGGAAGCCGTGATTTAAAGTAGATGTAACGGAAGGATGGAACATCTGTGATGTGGTGACAGAGGCTGGATAGCATTTGGCGTATGATTATTGATAAGGGGTTTCAAGGGGCGAGGTGACCGATTTCCGTGACGCAAGTTGCAGCAGCTGCCGAGACTTGATTTCGTGAAAGTATGTGAACAACGATATCGGGTGGTGGCTGACAAGAAGCTGAAACAAACTGGATAAAGTCCGTAAGGACTTTAGACGCGGGTTCACAAATTCTTGCGCAGGTGCAGGTCGTCCGTGGGACTTGCTTTCAAGCCGTGGTCTAGGGAAGGAATGCGGCATGATTGAGGTTGCAGAAGACTGATAACAGCCTAATTAAGATTCGATTAAGGCGGTTAAAATTCGGAGGGTCACCAACTGTGTAGAGTAGGTTGTAGGGTCTGTGGATCTCGGTTCAAAGAAGTGGCATAGGGGGAGGGGGGACAGGTACCCGCTGACAGGTGACACTAAGTGACAGCAACTGATAAGGGTTGAAAGCGTCATCATGCAGACCTCAACACCGCTCCACGGCCACACAGTGCCGGATTGATATGATTCCAGGTATCAGGCTCTCAGTAGTTCGTACACACTCACTCCTATGCTCCTACCGCTATCAACATCATGTACGGCCGCTAAAGCAACTCCACTTCAGAACCATGGCGTTGTTATCAGTTGTCAAAGACAGCGTCAAGTGGCTTTTATCCGCCTATCCTATTGACTATATTTCATAACACACTTATGAGAGGGCCATATTGAAGCTGCTTTCAAACTTAGCCCTGGATGCGGACAGTGCGATTCCAGAGTTAAAAGAATCTTACAGTGAGACTGGAGAACGCATCAAGCGGCAGGACTCGCCTTTGACAGGCCCCTGACACCTCTTCAGCTTGCCTGCCACTCCTTCCGTCGCTCCGCGCTCTACCCGTGCCGGAGTTTTTGGTACTAGCTCCGATAAAAGAATGGAAAAAGGATAAATTTCAGCGTTACATTAGGACAACGTTTACAATCCTACCATATATAATCGGCTAAGTCCGTGCGTGTGCGTCTGTCTCTTCCGACAAATCCATAAGCGCCGTTTCCAACTAGCCACCGAATATGGTTCAAGAAGTGACGCTAGAGGGCGGCTCTGTGACGGAAACTTTAGGAAGTGAAGTTTGAATACAGTTGATAATATTGATGAGAGCCTCAGAAATGGCTTCTCACCAATTTTCGTAAGCGCGGTCACAGCATCGCCAGCTGTTGATTCCCATTATGATGTAGGATATGGGAAAGGAACATATAATTTAGGTGGAAGAAACAAAAAGAAATCGAATGATCTGATGAATAAAGATCGAGGATCTTTAGAAAGAGGTTATGGTCACAGACTCCATCCGCGTGTCACCAGCCAACGGAATAGGGGATTGTTCCAAGATCACAATGTAGGTGTAGGAAAACATTTTAGGTTAGTACAACAACTGCAAATCTATAAGACTGGATAAGGGGCGTCAGAAAGAAGGCCAGCTGTTTCCATACGAGGGCTGCAGATGTCAGCGTTGGTTCCAGCAGGTGATATAGGGTGTAAAATGGGGTCGGAACGGTGGGTGACAAAAAGCCATAACAACTGATAGGGACTGATAAGAGGCCTTGCGGTCATCGTTGTTCAAGGTGTTAGAGCTTTCGAAGTACCAAATTCCAAAGTTTTTGTGAACGGACGACGTGTGGTAAGTAATCATACCAATTGATTAAATTTGATGAAAATCAATTTTCGTCACATTTCTTACCACTTTTTACCGATTCACTGTCAAGTATTATAGGCGCAGTGTATTTCTTTCTTTTGATGTCATTAGAATTTCGGAAGTAACAAAGCGCTGTATGTTGCATGATCCTCTAGCCTGATTCAACTTTAACCCATTGCTCGAGCTATTTTCAGTTATTTTTCTACATTTTGCTGGAAAATGCACTGTGACGGTTAGGCGCATTTTGCACACTCTACCTCGCCCTACCGGCCCGGCGAAGCCGGGCCTTGACAAAGAAGGAGGAGCACCCGGCGGTAGCCGGGTGATCCTGGTTTCAAAATAAGCGTAAAATGTCACAAAAGAGCACAAGCCAGGTTTCTTGGGATGCGTCGTAGTGGCCATTTCGCTGCGCTTCTATTTATACAAAGTTTTTCAGTGGTTGAAATCCAGATATTTTCCAGATATACCAATGACCACTTCCTAACGAACTGGAACGCTATCTCGTTGAGAGGACGTGGAGGAGCAGCGCGTATGGTGTATCCGTAGCGGGCTGGGATGTTAGTGACGTCAATTACAATAGTTCAGATGCAGTTGATATCGCTGGTAGTTAGCCGGAGCGGTGTCGAAAGCCGTAGCCCACCACCGGCGTTCTCACCAATGGTCGTTTCCGTCCTAAATCAATCACTGGCCGATCACTGTTTGTGAGAAAAGGCAACCGGTGGAGGGCTCATTTAATCCCTTCTAACACCGCCCCGACTGATTGCTACGATATCACGTCCTACGTTGCCACGCCCTTTTGGGCGCCAAGAGCATTGCCCTTCTGCGGTTCGTGCTCACCTTGTACACCAAAAGAGTCACAACCTCAGGTAATCACGGCATATGTACTGAATCGCTAGGAAAATAAACAATATAAAGTTATTGGTTGGGAAGCGCTAAAAAAGGCGCATTCATCAAGATAGATGTGCTCGATTGCAGGCACTTCATCAAGGTGGATCAGCTCGGTATGTCGCATATTGCGCATTTTCCAGGAACCAGGTGTAAATCTACCGAGCTCCATCTAAACGTTAATTAGCAGTTGCACCTTCCGTTGCTTTTCGTTTTTATGAGATTTTATAGTTGCTGAGTTAATAATAAAGGGCACTACTAGTTGCTGGGTACTGCGAGGGCTCCGACTGGCGGACACTTCCCATGATAATGAGATATGGGTCGTAGTTCAAAAATGAAATAGAAGGTGCTAGGTGTTTCGCCACTGGGAAACAAACTCTACATAAACATCAAAATAAGCTTTTCGCATTTTCCCGAGACATTACACAAGAGTATGGTGGGGAAAATGCATTTTGCAAACAATGAGTAAAAGAAGCTTGCAACCCACGCTTCCCTTCGCCACCATTTCGGGCGGAAACAATTTGTCGAACGCGCACTAACCACAGATGCTGGCCCCAGCGCCTCTAATTGTCAGAAAACGGTACGGAACAGTCTGCAGTAGTCTTGTCTCACGAAAAATATTGTTCCACTCATCCAGTGGAGTATGCTTTTGATCTCCCCTAATTTTGGAAGTGTTTCTTCAAATGAAACGTGACTGGATTTCAATTTGGGATACCACATTTTCACTGTACCGTCCCATGGTCGGATACCACATTTTCACTGTACCGTCCTATGGTCACCCTAGGAGAAACTGCATGAGAGAGAGGAAGTGTTTTGGTTTTTAAGGGGTATATTAGATCCTTTTAGCTTGCAGTAGAGACGAAGCATAAAGCTGTCAGCACCCCCACCCCCAAAAGGCTTGATGATTGAAGACAGGTTGTACGCTCCAATGTTCAACTATCGGAATGTTGGCAGCATACTATTTACAACCACTTCTACCCGGCATCAGTTTGAGTTTCCATGGAGATAATATGGTGCACATTTTCGCACGTTCGAATTCCCTCACACGTGTAACTGACACTTCCCCGTACATTACAGATGGGAAAGAACATTGGGACTACTACAACATGGACTACAATTTTGTTCCTCCTTTGCTTTTACTGAACTAGTTGACTAAACTTTCTACTTTGTATATTTTCTCGCATTTTCTTGATATCAATTCAACGTTTCAATCCACGTTAATCAAATGAAATAGGGTTTGAGCCGGTCGCATCTATTCCTACAGCGTCCGCGCAAGGTGTCGACCGCGGCGCTCCTGGCATTTTGCCATTCTTTGGTGATTCACGCTTCCAATAGCGATTAGAGCGCGAACCTCGCTGAGCGGGACTTGAATTGAAGATCAGTTAGTTGTTTCAAAGTTGCATGCCTTTCGCAATTGCGCTTCAATGAGAAGAACGTGAATTGAAGAGCAGTTAGCCAGTTTCAGAGACCCATACACAACGCAAGCGCATTTGAACGAGAAGGACAGAAAGCATTTGCAGGTAGTAACCGGTAATAGGTAACACATGAAAATTATGCAGGAAGAGCGTCATGCAGTGACACGAGGACGTATCTGCATATATGGGTACTATTCAACTATTATTACCTAAGAACTCGAAAAAAGGACTGCTGAAACTTTGCCTATACGGATTACTCGATGCCCTGATCAGAAGTATGACATTCGCTTTCGATGCGCGCATTTAAGCGCCAGTAGGCGCCG